TGTGGAGGGTGGAGATGGACAGGGCTCCAGGAGGGGACCACGTTCCTATGGTGGTGGAGGCATAGTTAGGAAATAATTACCTGCACAGCTGAATGAAACTTGCAGGGCATCCACAGGTAAGGTGCAGTTGGTGAGTTTGCTTTTTCTTACATTTTTCCATAAGGCTCATGCACTTGATTATCTGAGCGGCATGGCCTGCTGAGAGAGTTACCATCCTTAGGGACCAGTCCTGGAGGGACTCAGACCCAGGTCTTGGGATTTGGGGCTCACAGTAACAGTGCCGGCCAGTGAGAACTTTGGGAGTGGATGTGGGCTGACGAAGGCAGCCTTTGGCATGACCATCTTAGGGCAGTGGGCAAGATCGACAAAGGGGAGCCCGAAGGCAAGGTCCACAGGATGCATCTCCACCAGCGTGCTGGGGTGGGGGGGCCAGGAAGCACTGGCAGGATGTGGCGCAGGCCAAGGCAGCCTAGGCTGGGTGGTGCTGCTGGGAAGTGATGTGACTGGGAAGCAGGAAGCTTGAGAAGCTCTGCGGGATCAGAGGTGGGCTGTGGGAGTCCAGGGTGCAGGGGGGACCTGTGTGCGTTCGAGCTCCGGGAATCCAGATAGGAGCGCCATTGGCACAGCTGGGATGGAGGAAGGATAGCTGGGTCTGCAAAAAGATCTTGAGGTCAGATTTGGGGGAGCTGGGTTGTGACAGAGCCCAGGTGAGTTCCCATAGCCAGGAAGCCTTGGCATACATTCACTGCCTCTTTTTACAAACATTTTGTGCGCCCCTCGGGGCGTGGCATTCGGTTGGGGCCATGCAGGGTGCAGGGCTGAGTGAGACCATAACCTGCATGCCAGGGCCCCCAAAGTCTGGAAAGGAGGTGGGATGAAAAGCTCAGTGTGTCCTGGAAGGAGCAGCTTAGGACCGACTCGGTTTAGGTATGAGACCTCACACCAGCACTCCCCGGCTCTGCGTCTGTGGGTCAGACTTTAAATTTGTCTGTAGTTCAGCCTTCTCTTTAGTAACTCTGGAACATCAGTGCCTCCCTGAAATGAGCCATCAGGAGACATTAGCTAGCACTCTCTTTCCTGGGCAGAACCCGGAGCTCCCCAATGTCGAGGGTGGGCTAAGAACAAATATCCATCCCAGGAATGTGTAGGTATGGAAGAATTCCACGAGAATCCGGATTTGCAGGTTAACTCATTCCGTAGCTGGAGTGCAGCCATGGTGTTTTGGCTCTGGCGAGGGTCACCTGTCCTGTCCTTGGCCTCTCTTTACCATCCCAATCGGGGGACCCTGTCGCTGGTGCACGGGCAGGGTTAGGCTGCCAGTCGTGAAATGCCAGATCTGTAAGCCTTGCAAAGGTCACTGCAGACCGTACTAACTCAAGTTAATAGGACACTAATGATCTGACCATGCCCAACAGGCTAATATGATTTGAAGAATATGTATAAAAGTCAGACCCCAGTGTATTTCTAACTTCTCCTAAATACGAATCTATACATGTTGACTCTCCCCAGAAAATCGTCAGTGTCCTTCTTTGACTTGAAAGTGGAACAGACTTCCTCCTCCTGTTTTGAAAATCTCAGGTCTGTTTTCATGTCTCCCTAAGGTGACAACAGCATGAGAGATTCACATGCACGACCGAATGCAAACTGACAAGTGCGGTTTGTGGGCATTTCATCTGTTTTCCAGAATGTTCGTCAAGGTAGCAGTCTGAATAGAACTTAGAATCTGAGCCATCGACAGCATTTTCTTTGAAAATATTTGCGACAATGTGGCAAATAAAAATTCCTACCAAATGAACTAAATTTGGTCTTGAGAAGAAGAATGCATTTCATGACATTCAGAAAACTTCAGATACTTTGAATCTTTTTCTGTCTGTACCCTTCTGAAAACAATGGGCTAAAATTTGGGGTGGGATTTACTAAAGAACAGAACACACGCCTGAAAGCCCCTCATGGAAGCATCACTTCCCTGCTCCCACAGGTCGGGGTCTAGCCCCAGCGAGAGGAGCTGCTTTGCTTCGAGTCTTAGGCTTACAGGCAGGATTGTGCTAAGGGACAGGACAGGTCTTCACCTGCAAACCTCTCCGCACATGAGTGAGAAGAAGGGTTTTGTGGCCCACCTGAGGGCTCACCAGAAGTATGTGAGCACCGTCAGACCACGTGAGCCCCTGACCAGCTGTCTCAGGGAGAGACAGGGACTTGTGAGACAATGTGCATGCTCACCCTGTGTCCCAGAGGGCCCAGATGAGCTGGGGTGGGGATAGCTGCATGGAGGGCAGAGCCAGTGGGGACATGCTTTCTAAATTGCTGGTGGCCAAATCATTTCATCTTGTGGGGGACTATTGGTAAATGCGCCATGGCCCCCGTGTGTGGGTGAGCGTGTGTGTTCTTACACACCTAAGTGTGTATGTGTGTGCGTAGCTGGACTAACACCCCTCCTGACATCTTTCAAGCACCATGATAGGGAAAACACAGCTCTTCAAAGGCCCTTCCTGCACGGGAGGATGTGTGTTCAGAACTAACACGTTACACACGAATGTAATGTGTTAGTTAGATATGGTCTCAGATTTGCACCTTTCCATGGTAACCACCAGGAGGACAAACTGCAGGACTTCCTTGGAGCCCCAGTCTCCTCCCTGGTAAACTGGTGATAGTTCCTGCCTCGTGGGACCATGGCGAAGACTGAGGCAGCTTCTGGAAGGTTCTTTGCAAGTACCTGGCATTTACAAACTCCCTGTGAATGCCTTCCATGAGGGATAGACCAGACAGGAAGGACTGGACAGGGCAGGATAGAACTGGACCGGACAGGACCTGACGAGACAGAACCAGTCAGGACAGGACCAGATAGAATAGGATGGAATAGGACCAGACCAGACAGGACAAGACAGAACCGGACAGACCTGGACAGGACATGACCACAGAACTGGACAGGACAGAAGCAGACAGAACTAGACAGGATAGGATCAGACACGACAGGACAGGACCAGATAGGACAGGACCAGATGAAAGCAGACAGGACAGAAATAGACAGAACTGGACAGGATAGGACCGGACAGGTTAGGATGGCATAGGATTAGACAGAACTGGACAGGACCTGACAGGATAGGATAAGTCCAGAAAGAACCAGACAGGACAGAAGCAGACAAAACTGGACAGAACAGGATAGGGTGAACTTCATGTTTTCCTGTTGTGCATAATTACCGTCCAGAGGAATGCCATGTTCTTCTTCCAGACTGAGAAGTTGGTTGTGCACGAACGTGTGTGGTGCGTGACCAAGAGTGAATTCCTATTGGCTCAGCTTTCTTAGGGGGAAGTAGAACAACTCTATGGCTATAGCCGTGTTTGGTTTTTTAAGCTTTTTGTCCATTTTAGGGAATCAAAGATGAAAGACAAAACTCAAAAAGTTTGAATTACAGTAGGCAAGGAATGGATTCTCTTGAAAACGATGAACATTTAATGTCTAATGAGGTACCGTGATGGTGTTCTGTATTTCAGGGCTTACACTTGGATGACCCAAGCCCTATGCAAGTCTACATTTTCCACCATCAGACAGTTTGTATTTAGCGTACCTTTCAAATCCCTTTGCTCCTGTACCCGTAATTTACTAGTGGCCATGAACACCTCTTGTCACCGTGCTCATCATGATGCACACAAGGTGTGGCCTGTGGAGCTGAGGGGACACCCAGGGCCATCTGAGCAGCATCTCAGGGTATGTGGCAGTGTCTGATTAAAAATTTAATCAGAGTCTTAGATCATGTATTGTAATGCCCCCATTTTTAAAAGATAAGACATGCCTTTTCTCTCATCATCTGAGATGGGCGCACTCTCATGCACGGAGAGACTGGGGTTGGAGCTCAGTGCAAAGGTCACTGTAAAATTGGCATCGTTTCGCTGGCCGGCTGCCGACCTTGAGCACAGGTACACCCGGGCAAGCCGCCGCTGACCTGCCTGTTTGATGGGACACATGATAGTGACTGTCTCTGTTAGATTCAGACTGTTTGTTGGGAAATAATTAAGGTGGTCACTTCAACGAACAGCTTTGCCCGTTATCCCAATATTCTAATAAATACTTCCTGGGAAAACCAGGACAGTCTGTGGTCAGATAAATTTGGAAGCTAGAACAGTTTCAGCAAGGTTCAGTGGGTCTGTTTCCTGCAGGACACCGTGGAGTCTTTCCTCTGCTAATTCAGTGGGTGATCCAACAAGTTTAATTTAGCAGTTGCGCTGTGCTCACAACTCCAATAGACGTTGGGATGCCACCGTTGGAGAGAAAACTGTGTGTGTGTATGTGTGTGTGCACACGTCTGCATCGTGCTCCGTGTGTGCACATGGGTGGTACCTACTAAGCCTTCAGACATAGACATATGGTGGGAAGCTCTGACCTATAAAGACAAAATAAGAACTTGAAGATTTGAGGCCCTGATAACATATATGAAAGCAGCTGATAAGGAATACCCACAGAAATTGATAGCTCTTTTTGAGGTGGGGGAAAACACTAATTTTCCCCACTCAGTGGGTCATGTGAACATTTCTAATTTTCTATGAACACTTTCTACGAAATGTTGAAAAGGTGAATGAAGAACGTTTGCTATGCATTCAGCCCGGTAAGAAACACACGGCTTTTGTGAAGATACGTGCTCTCCTGGGACAACCTCTGCCTCGATGCTCAGATCTGGGGGGCCGTGTGTACCACTTCTGCTGAAAAGTTCCTCATAGTTCTAGAATGTGTTCTTGGTTACGACCCCCAAGGTGCTTAGCACAGCAGGGGTAGTAGATAATATGCCAGGAGCTCAGACCTCTGGATGTCACAGTCCTGTTTCTGAGCATCACAGGGTTACCTTTCAGTTGCCTGTATGAAGGCTGAGAGTAGCTGATGAGTAGCTAACTAATGATTTTGAGCAGTAATACTTCTTTTTTAAAAACAGTAACCTTTCTTTTAAACATTTACTGTGTCTCATGAACACTATCAAAAGCCAGCTTTCTTTTCTCCTTCTTTATTGCAGTTGTATATGGGGCCGATGGCTTTAGGGATTTTCATGCACTAATTCCCAAATCTTTCTCTCGTAAGTATATGCCTTGCTTCTAGAAAACAGAAACATGTATTAATTTTATACTCAATTTCCATAGTGTAAATGCATGATTCTCCATCACCCACCTTCATACTTGAAAAAATGAGGTAAATATTGCCCATCCTGTTCATTACACACCTACCATCTGGGGTATCACTGATGTAATAAAGTGTGTATGTAACATTTCAGACCATGGGAAGATTAGACAGTGGAACATGCCTTTTGGTGGAGTAATAGGGGTAGAAGTAACACTAGCATTGAATTGTCACTCTATTAATGTTGGTGAACAGTTCTGCCATTAATGTGATGAGTATCTCCCTTCGAGTGAGTAGGATGATAAAATGGCCAGACTTCCTGTCACCATGAAACAGACCAGCGTGCGTGCATGATGACTTTTACAAATTTGTGGGACAGGAGGAAGAGACAGACTCTCCCTCTGTTGCTCTGAAGTATTAATTTCAGAACCGAGAAGAGAAACATCGTAGGGCTTTGGGACCGTTAGTCTGCAGTGCGGTTCCTCGCTGCCCAAGCAGACACACTGAGTGCTGTGTGTGCTCAGGACAGTCCTGATCTGAGCTGTTAAACCAAAAGCAGATGTTAATTTCATTTTTAGGTATTGAGAGATGATAAACCATAGACAGATCAGGGCAGCACCTTTGAAGGAATATTTTAAGGAATGGAGTGTGCTTTTTAAAATGCTTTAAAATATTTAAAGTAGCACAAATGGTCATCCCCTTAGGACCAAAGCCTTCAGAGCCTGCATTAGTAAATTCTCTCCTGTTGTAAAGCAACCTCAGCAAACAGGGCGTGCTTGTTAATACTGTAACAGTCATTGATCCAGCACAATCCGAAAGGTGTCAGTAATGGTAAAGGTAAGATTCTGACATCCTAGTCATCAAAACTCTGCTATCTAAAGGATATAGCAACAACCCAGATTGGAAGCTGACTACTTTCCCAGGTTATAAAAGTTACCGAGATCTTTCTCTTACCAATCTTCCTTTGATTCAACTTGAAAACAATAGCTTGAGATTTATTTCTGGGAGAGATGGATGTATGTGTATGTATTTATACGCGTGTGTATATATATACATATAGAGAGAGAGAGAGATGTGTGTGCACTCCTATGATTATATAAAACGTGGAGGTGCTGGGACAGAGAAGTCAAGTTAATTTTGAGATGAACAGTCACATTGCTGAAAAGTTGAGAAGTCAAATGCACCGAAGAGTAAGAAAAGATGGTCTGAGATGTTTTCACTAAGTCTGAGGGAGGTCTAGGGGCAAGCATACTGTGATGTGCTCATATAAAGATCCATGCTACCTGCAGATTTTATAAGATGGATGATGCATGTTTTGATATGTGCTTGTCTGTACATTTACGCAAATGATTCACAAGGTGCTGGTAACTCTCTCTTTCCTCCCCTCCCCCTCCCATGTCCCCAGACTGTAAATATCCTCCTCCTCCCCCGCACAGATGGCTGATGACCTGGAGGACTTCCCCACCCCAACAGCAACCCAGCTGTTCTGGGCCAACATCGCCACCTGGTGGGCAGGGTGGAGAATTGCCCCACTCGCCTGACCTCACCTCTTTGTTTTCCTTCTTGAAAATTAAAAATACATAACCTGTTTGACCCCCGCTACCTTCTCTATCCCAGTTTGTGTTCCCAGTAACCTGAGGAAAATGTAAATGTGCTTGTAAATCATTGCTTTGTCAGACCCCTCTGTCCCTGACTTCATTTCATTTAAAGGCCTAAAGTAGCAAATAAGGATAAAAATGTGTCTAATCATGCATCTTGACAAGAAAAATACCCCCACATTTTATTGGGGTTTTGGGGGGAGGTTGTTGCTGTTGGCTGCGGAGCCCAACACGGGTCTTGAACTCACGGCCCTGAGACCATGACCTAAGCCAAAATCAAGAGTCGGACAGCTAATGGACTAAACCACCCAAGCGTCCCAAAACACCTATGTTTTAAATGATAAAACTTAGAATAAGTGGTTTTATTAGCTTAAAAATGCTTAAAAGTTCTCCCAAATCTCTTTTAGAGCAGCACAAAAACATCTACACATTTCCTCTTCATCTCAAATTTTAATTACGCTCATTCAAGATCTCTTGCAAATATTTTTATTCCCTCTGCATTTTGCTTGCTGGTCACCGGTTGCAGGAATATTTCTGTCTCCCATTTTTTTGTTCATTTAAAAAATGGAGCACTTGAGACTCATGTGGCCTAAACTCAGACTACAGGGACGACTTCAGAATGTCTTCTCCATGGAAAAGCAGAGTGTGAGGACCAAACATTTACCTTACCAGTAAATAGAAAGACGCATTCCAGAAGGGCAAGGAAAACAGGGAGGAAACACAACCCATTTGTCAGGTGGGGACTGGCAGGGCACGTTATATCTACGCATTAACACATTTTAATCATTCATGAGTACATGCAGTGCTGGGCAGCATGCAGAGGCCTCCTGGCCCCGCTGACCCTGAGTTCCCTGGATTCTCCAGACTGTTCAGTGCTGAACTTGTGTATGAGCTGAGGTCCACCTTGCCTTAAGGGTCTTGGGTCTCTCTTAGGTCTGCTGTGTTACTAATAACGTAGAAGGCCTCTAAATTATGTAACAATAATATTTTAATTCTTCCTAATGTAAGACAGCATCTGAGAAGGAAAGTAGCTTTGACTCCAGATTTGAAGGCATCCCCTTTTAATACAAACCACGTGTATTAAACAATAAAATCAGGCCCCTGTCCGTGTGCTCTCGGGAAGAGCTACAGGGTTAGGCCTGAGCCAGAGCATTCTGGGGTAAAGAAGTGCGTGAGTCTTACCTCATGTTCTATATTTAATCAGTTCAATTCAGTGCCATACTGAGTTCGACACTTTTCTAAGGGAGGGGGTGGGATGGAGTTGCAAAATATTTATAAGTATAATCCCCACATCGACGGAGAGTCTAGTGTTTCATTGACACCACAATGCACCTAAGCAGTTCCAGCTCCAAGAAAACGGGGCGGAGGAGTGGTTTAGGAGTCCGGGGAAGGGACGGCCAGTCAACACGAGCCCCAGTTAGCTCAGAGACATCACCCGAGGGGCGGACTAAAGTACAGTAAACACAAACGAGGGGAGACCCTCTGTTTCATGGAAGTGCCTGGTCGGGTCGACCTGTGTCATTCAAGGGACACCAGTGATGAGGACTCGTCCTGCTCCGTTTGACTTTTCTCAAGGGAGTAGGGTAGACCTGGCACCCTCCCTTGGCTGGGCTCCAAGCCAACAGGTGGACAGCTTAAATCAATGCCAGTCATCTGTCCTGCAACTCTTCATTAGGCGAAGCAACCACTGGAGACTTGGACTTCTGTGGGGTTGGGAAATTCAAAAATAATGGGCCCACAAACTCAGCAGTCAGGCCTCCCGAGTCCTCCATCACTCCTGTACATGGAGATGCAGGAGGAGGTGATCCACCCAAGTGTCCCCTCTGCTCCATGAGCTAGAGGCCGCCTGCCCGGCCGCAGAAGGAGCCCACCACCCGGGCGCCACCTCTGAGCTGCGCTGTGCCCGGGCCGCCCAGGCTGCCCGCTCTCCTGTGGCTTCAGCGTCTCGGCCCCGCTAGTTGTTTCTCTGAGCTGCTCCAGCCCCGTGGACGCCCCCAGTGTGTTCAGCCCCCACAGACTTCCTTCCTTCTGACCCCTTCAGGCTGGGCGTGTCCTTTTAACGGAGGCACACGGCCGGGCCCGGGGAAGGGACTCCAGATCTCACCCCGTGCAGGACCCCGAGGCTGCATCTTCTGTTTCTTCTTTTCCAGCCGCATCACTAATTGAGCCCAAAGCCCCAAAACCTTTCTCACACTTAGATAAGTGGGGCCGACACCTCCCCCCCTCCTGAGTTTGTGTTTTTATAAAAGGTGTTTTTTAACTTAAGGGGACTTGACGTTTATGTCCCTTAGATCACAATTTTGGAGACTGGTGTGTTTGTGACTTATTACGATAGGTTCATACCCTGAACCCCTGGAAATAATAACCCTTGGCCTGTGTTCTCCTTGTAGCCAGAGGGGACACCCCGTTTTCAGGGACGCCCTCTTCGGAGGGCAGGAGCCCGTCCGTCTCTTCTGTGTGGCCAGCACCCACTTTGCATTTGTCCACAGAGATAGGAATGCTTTAGGGAGCCTGCTGGAGATTCTCGCTCTCCCTCTGCGCTTCCCACCACTCTCTCTCCAAAAAATAAGTCTTTAAAAAAACAGAAAGATAGGAATGCATTTTGCCCATAGTTAGGGAACTGTCACTCGTGCTTGGCTCTGGTGTGCCCATGGGGACAGTGTTGCCCCTGTGATCTCCCGGCCCCTCCCTGTCATCCCTTCTCCCTCGGTCCCTGCAGACCTTTCCTGTCCTAACGTGGCCTGGAATCGGTCCCCGAGAGGCTGCCAAGCTCCCAGCCCTAAAACTCTCTGCATCTGCCAGCCGGCTCCAACCTGGAACGTGGGTGGCGTCTGCTTCCAAGGGCCCCCGTCACGCTCCCGTCAGTCACGGTCGCCCAACCTGGCCCTCCGGTGGCCTGGGGCGTTGTCTGCGCTCTTTCCTTCAGAGACCCGCAGCATTACGGCACCCCGAATCCCAGTCTGTGAGCTTCGCCCCCTCCGGCATGGCCCAGCTCGACCTCAACCTGTACCTGGGGTCCGCAGAATCGTGGGGTCGCTTCTCACAGGCTCTCATGCCTTTTGAGCCTCCTGTTTTGGTTCTGTCACAGTTCTCGACTATCACATGACGTCATAGTAACGAGAAAGCCGGATTATGATGGGACTCGGGTCTGGTGTGAGGACTTCCGTGCTCCCTAAGGTGACACGTGGGCCGTGCCGCCCCCCAGGCCACCCTCACCTCCTTCCTGCCACACTGCAGGTAGCCTGCTGTCGCCCATGTCACCCGGAAGTTCACCCCGCTGCTTCCCGCTCTCCTGCCCACCACCAGGAAGGGCCCACACGTCCCCAACAAGGCAGCCCCACAGCACACCGCAGGGTGATGGCCATATCTGTCTGCCTTAACCACGTGCAACAAGTGATGGTTTCTGGCGAGGGTCAGATCTCTCCACGTCCCCACACCTCTCCACAGGGGCGCGGACCTACACCCCTTGTCTCAGTGCCACTGGCTGAAGAGCCTGCCACGCCAACAGCCATGTGCCCCGCCGTGCTCTGGAACGCCCCAGTCTCGTTTGAGAAAAAAAACAAGCCGCCAGTCGGATGGTTACAAATAATCCCAGGTGAAGGCGTTCAGGAGTCTTTGAAACTTGACGGTCGTGTTTCCAGAGCCCTCTAGCGCAGACCTAGAGAATGAGCTTGCACCTGGAAAGGTACAGGGCGTGACTGGGAATAGGGATTCTAGAGAGCTCCGAGGTCAGAAAGCCTGACGGCACCCCCACCGCCTGGCCTGCCCGTGTCCTGCACTCCCCATGTCAGTGGGACGTGGTCCCTTTCTCTGGCAGCTGGGAGAGGTCAGCAGGGGGCCCCTCTGGGGCGCTCCAGGGTGTCTGGTCTTCGGAATCTAGTAGGAAAGCACGGGTGGGGACTCCCTCTTTCTGGATGTAACATAGGGACCGGATGAGAGGAGATACTCCCTCCTGGGCTCTGGCCCGTGTTCCAACTCACTGTCCCATTTATTTATTTATTTTCCTCCCCAGAGAGCTAATGGGAAAATCTTGGCGGGTCAGCAGCTAGGAATGTGGGTGCTAGAGCCAGGCTGTGTGACCTTCCCACGTCATTCAACCTCTCTGTGCCTGAGCGTCTTCAACTGTGAAACAGGATGACAGCATGACCTCCCTCAGCAGGTCCCTGCGAGAGCTAAATACCCCAGAGCAAATAAAGTGCTGTGTGCCTAGCACAGAGTCAGGGTCGCAGATGTCATGGGGGTCGGGGGGCCCCTCCACGGACAGCTCTGTGGGGAATGTGCAGGCCCCGTGCTAAGCTGACTCCTCATCATCTATCACTGAGTCCCCGCAGCGCCCCTGGCCGGCCACCGCGGATCCTTCCAGCCTTGACAGATGTGAAAACCAAGGCACGGAGAAGGTGTGTGACTTGCTCCCGAGATCTCAGCGCTCGGAACGAGTGGAGCCGACGTTCCCAGCCATGAATGTCAACTTCAGAGTCTGGGCTCTCGACTTTTATAATCAAAGCGTTGCATAAAATGACCCTGGGGGGTTACTAACTAGGTTGATTATTTAAAACCGTGGTCTCAGACAAGCCTGTACGTCGGAATCCCCTGGAGGGTCTCATGACAACACAGGCACTGAGTCCACCCCCAGAGCTTCTAGCCCAGCGCATCTGGGGCAGACGGGAGAATTTGCTCTTCTGACAAGTTCTCAGCTGACGATGATGCTGCTGGTCCAAGGGCAAAGCCTGGAGACCCACTGAGTGAAAATGTCGGTCAGAGATTTCATAGTCAGAACTACTGTCCATGTCACTGTTTCTTGTACTTGGCAAAATTCGCCTCCCCGCCCTTCTTAATCTCTGAGGCCATGATAGAAGTGATAGCTTTCAGGGTCGTTGTAGTTTGTCCTACTGATTATGGGGTGGGACTCATCAGTTCATCGCCAGGCTGTGTTTCAGAACGATGCACACGGAGTGTCTCTGATTTTCTTTGCCAACAAAAATATGCAAATGGCAGAAATAACGGCCCTCAGGGTGACTTTAGCGGAATCAGGAATGCAGAGCGAACAGGAGC